GTATCGGTGGTAAATAGAAAATTAATTTTAGTAGCAAAAAATGTAAAAAGAAAATGTCAGTGTTTTCTTTTGACCTAGCAAAAAGGTTTAACTATCTCATGAGAATATTAAAATGTTACTGTGCTATGGGCATCATAGTGAAAATGAATCTAAATTAAGGTTACTGAGAAAATAGATAACATCTAGTTAAATTTAAATTTCAGATAAACAATAATTTTTTAAACATAAGTTATGCCCCATGTAATATTTGAAATGCACTTAGGCTAAAAAGTTATTCATTGTTTATTTGAAATTCAGATTCAGCTGGGCATTCTTTAATTTTATTTGCTAAATCTGGCAAATCAATGAATACCAACAATATGAAAAAAAAAGGTAACACTTTGGTGAGCCCGTTTATTTTTTAAAAAAATGTTTTATTGGCAGTCCACCAGTTTCAAAATTTTTATGTTAATTTTTCCCTCACCCTAAACCTATGGTTAGTTTGCATAATGGCACTGTGATTTCACCTTCCTTTAAAAAATACTCTAGAATCAAAATGTCTATTTTGACTCTCCATGGTCACCAGAATGTGGCTTACAAAAAGGGAACAGTTGTTAGTCCTGGCTAAAAGCCAGACATTTGGTGTAGAATTATCAGTTGCTTATTCTACCAGAAGTTTCAGTGGAAGCTTGTAAAGCAGGTTTTCCTTATTGGTTTGGATCAAGTAGCCAGGAGACCATTTACACTGCTCTTTATTTCAATGCATAGTGAAGAGTCTCAACTATTTACACTGAAGAAGACAAGGGCAAAGCTTGATAAGCAGTGTGGTTGTGGGATAATATTCGGCTTGTGACCTTACCAGTGAGCTCTGGGTCACAGAGCAAAGGAGCACAGAGCCAAGTTTGAATGGAGGTCTTGGCAAGACACCACCAGCAAAGAAAGAAGAACTAAAAGTTTTGCTAAATTGGTCTATTTATGGACACTTTTTCCCTTCATTATTTACTGCTCTCAAACAACCATATAAATCATCTCATGTCTGCAATCTAAAATTCCAGAGTTGGTAGGTGAGCAGCTGTGGGAGACTGAAGCCTTTTGCCAACATAAAACCCTATGGACATTCCGGGTCTTCAGCCAGCTCCCAAAAGCCCTCTTTCCTTTCTTCTCTGAGCCCTAGGGATAGACCAGCCTATTTCCTTCCCACTGTTGCCACCTGTTATTTCCAACTGTGTTTAACTCCTCCCTTAGTACAGTGTGGGACAGAAGACAGCTTCACAACTTCTGGCCTACCATGTTCATACCAACTGCCACTTTGCACTGTGTGTTAGACATTCTACTCTGCACTTTATATCATGACATTGTTTGATAGACAGTGATGTCTACTATCTCACAGATGATCAACCAAAGTTCATAAGGTCAAATAAATTGCAAAGATTGTAATGAAGACACCTTTTAATTACACTGGGTTCTACCATCTCAGTTCAGTTCCTGAGATAAAGAACATCTCTTATCTAAGAGATGCTGTTAGTTAAACCGTAGGAAATGGACTTTCCCTAATGCTACACCAAATCTTCTTACAGGAAAGTACAGAGACCACAGAGGTGATAAAAGTAGATCTTTGAGACTTTCTGGGGTGAGATGAGGGAGATAGATAAGAGAGGATTTGGTGAAGTGGTTTTCAAGCTTTGATGTATACAAGCAACATTTAGATGGGTTGTTAACACAAGAAAGAAAAGATTTAAGGATTAAAAAAAGAAACCATAAAACTACTTAGCAAGACCATACACATTTAAAAAACTTCATTTGATAGTAGTAATTTTATCCCTCTGAATTCTTTCTAGTTGAGATTATACAGCAAAACACTGTTTAAATAATATAATATGATAAAGTGCCTAGGAACAGGTCTGATATTTTGCTAAATATAACTCAAATTCCAGAAGGCATAAAAGAAAACTTGCTTCATTTTAACTTCAAAAAAGAAATCTTAAATCTCCACTACATAAAAATTCAACCAAAAAGTAAATTATGAATTTTGGCCCAAATAAATACAGTAAAACCATATATATTATGGTATGTCCATTCAGTGGGAAAATATGCAGTTATAAGAAAAAGTTACTGGTACTAACATGAAAAGATTTCCAACAGTTGTTAATAAATGAAATAAATTAATAAAGCATGGTAGACAGCATGGTATGCTTCCATGATTCCTTTGTGTGAAATGAGTAGGAAGGCTAAGTGTATTGTGTGTGTGTGTGTGTGTGTGTGTGTGTGTGTGTATATATATATATATATATATATATATAGAGAGAGAGAGAGAGAGAGAGAGAGAGAGAGAAGAGAGAGTTTCTGAAAAGATAAATAAGAAACTAGTGGCTATAGATGTCTGTATGGAGGAACTGTGGAACTGGGAAGAAAAAAACAGGATCGAAGAAATAATTTTCCACCAGATACTTTTGTATACTTTCGAGTTTTGAACCACATGAATATATTACTTATTTTAAAATAAAATAATTAAGGCATAACGTACAAAGAACCTACCACCCTAGACTTTTTTCACAAATTCAAGGTAGATTCAGGTTCGGTAGTCAAGGACAGACTTTTATTTTCTAAAAGCCTCCACTTTTGATTGTAACATAGGTGGTCTGATAAGGTCACACTCTGACAAAAATAGGCATAAAAGTTAGCAACCTACTGGAAGATCACATTAAAGACTGTCAAAGAAGGGGAAAGGATTTAGAAATGTTCCAACAAGTTATTCTACAGACGTCACTTTTCTTCAGCTCTTTTTTTTTTTTTTTTACTATTTATTTATTTATTTATACAAGCACTGGGTACAGTCAGAAGCACGGGAGGGTGAGAAAATTCACCAGAGCCAGAGTGGGGAACAAAACAGACAGACTAATGAAACACACTGCTGAGAGTGTCTTCCAGTGGGGACCCACAGAAAAGGGTCACAAACAACTGGACAAGCCCGGAAGGAAAAGAGCAAAATGAAAATCAAGATAAAAGCTGCCATTGTCACCTCCCCATGGGTCTCACCCACATCTGTGTCACCCAGTCCACGACCAAAAGACAAGCGCAGTTTCTTTACGTGTCTCTAGGCTCTATGCGCCTCCTCCAGGTCTCCTTCTGGCTCCATCCTGCTTCCTTCCTCCATCTCTTCTTCTGCTTCTCCTCTTCCTGCTCAGCTCCACCCTCCCTTGGGTGGGGCAGGGAAACTCCCCCTTTCCTGGGGACCACCCTGTTACAAGAGGAGCAGCGGGCACGGCAGGAGAAGTCTGCACACCATGTGGGACCCTCACGGTGGCCGAGGATCAAACTGGCGCTGCAGAGGCTGTGGGCAGCTTCGCAGCCCAGCGCTCAACCGCTGCGCCACCAGGGGAGGACCATTCTTCAGCTCTTTCACGGGTCCTGCCATCCTGCTATCATTGACTGCCCTACCTGTCTAGGCGTTAGAACAAGATAACTGACCAGGTGTAGGTGGCCACAGGTAATAAGAAGGGAAGACGATGAAATTCCAAGCCTATTTATAATGGAGAAAAGACTTTCTATGGCCAGTTAGCTTCCAGATACCATTCTAGATGACTGTATATGGAAACTGAGGATTATTGGAAATTTGAATCTTTTACTATAATGTTCTACAATATTCATAATCATTTTCCTTTTGCTGTGATGTCATCTATTCCTACCTGCTATGATTGACCTTTTTTCCTTTCTTTATAAAATCAAGCAGAGGCCCAGAGGTAGACATAATGTGAAAACAAACATATACACATATCCCTCTCTCCATAGACCAGTGCCTTCTCTCAAAATATAATTTATCATTGTCAATTCCTGGATTTTACTTTCTTGAGTCAGAATTCTCAATTCTCATTGCTTGGTACCCAGGTATGGTAGCAGCTCTGGTGGCAAGTAATGTCATGGAAGTCCAGGACATGTCCACAGGACAAAGGATACCATTTAGCTTGTCTTCCCCTATATTTTCATTCCACCCTTCCAGTCCTTTCTTTCTCCTATAAAAATTGACTAAACCTATGTTAATTCCTGGGCATACAAAAAAATAGTAAGAAGTTAAGTTATTAAGAGAAGTTATTAAAGGGCTAAGAGGTGGGGCCCAGATTCAAACCAACTTGTGGCTTCCTTGAGTCCTGGAGGCTAAAATGTCAACAAGAACAAAAATGCAAAGGAGGGTAGTTCGTGTTTTTAAGTAGTTTGTCCAACCACATATATGGTGATGGTGGAGGCAACAGTGGTCAGTCTGTGACAACTGGCAGGAAGATCGCATCTGAGGTGAGATCAGGGAAGACTCTGGAAGGGAAGTAACACTGACCTAATTTCCTCATACTATTTTAATTAGAACTCAGTTGAGTCATTTTTCTTGAGCACTTGAGTTTTTCTTTAAACTCTTTTTTTTCTCCCATGAATAAAGGTTTTTTTTTAAGCTCTTCCTCACCCCCAGCCCCTAGCTCCCACCTCCATTTTCCTCCATTGGATCCTATCCTTTCTACTCTCCCTGGCCTTACAATAACTTCTGTCTTCCAGTTGCCTGAGTCCTCATTCTATAGTCCAAGAGACATAAGATCTGTTGACAGTCCAGAACTACCTTCTTCCAACACAACAAAAGCATTAACAACAGTTCTTGGCAAACCTCTACAGGTGCCACATTTTACAACCCTCCACAAGCCTGTGATAAAAACAGTGCATAACATCAATAGGTTTTTTTTTAAATATTTATTTTTATTTATACAAGAGCTGGGGTACAGTCGAGAGTCGTGGGAGGGTGAGAGGATTCACCAGAGACAGACCGGGGAGCAGAACAGACAGACGGACCGAAGCAGTGGGCGAGACAGGAGAGGTCTGCCTAGCCATGTGTGTTTCTCCCTGGCCGGCTGGGAATTGAACCGGCATTGTGGAGGCTGCAGACAGCTTCACAGCACTGCACTCAACCCGCTACACCATCGGGGAGGCCCAACATCAATAGGTTTTTACAGGAAATGTTCTCCCTTCCCTTCCTTTCCCTTCCCTTCCCTTTCTCTCCTTCTTTTTCTTTCTTTTTTTAATAATTGTCCATAGTAACAATTATTATGATCCTTTGTACCTTTGTGGAATCAGTTTTAACATCTCCTCTTTCATTTCTTTTTTTAAAAAATTGAGGTATAATTGACAATATTCCTCTTTCCTTTTCCAATATTTTAAAAGCATTTCAATAAGCAAAATGGTTTTTAAAAATAGATCTTAGTCACAGAAATGGAATCACCAGGGAATCTGAATAGCAGATATTAGAATGGTACAGGCATAAGAAAATCGATGTCATTTAGTGCACAGCAGCTTGATTGTGTGTATGAAGTTCACATATTTCTTCACCAATTTGCTCTCAAAGTGAACATTTTTAGAGCAAAAATGGAGAAGAAAGTCAGTTTTATTATCACTTTTCTCTATGCTTAGAGTGTTCATGCTCTTATTTAACCCTCAAAACAATCTTTTGGCATAAGTGATTTTTTTCCTACACTTTCTGCCCAATCTTACAAAATTCACACTCTATCTCAGGACAATTTCTTGCTAATTATTTTAAAATAAAACAAAATGGAACAACAGTTGTTTTATGTGAATTAGGAAACAGTGACAGAACAAATTTCACTCTTCTATATGTCCTTTCTGGACTTAGCTATACAGCAGCAAAATCACACAGAAAGCACAACTATTGAACTATCTACAAAATCTGTTAAGTGACAATTTTCAATGTTTGGAAAATTGCATCAAAAAGATGTAGAGAGGCGCACTCCTGTGAGAGGGATTCAGTAAGGCAAAAGCATGTAAGTACTAAGTAATGGGGGAAAGGAGACTATAAATGATTCAGAATTTGTGTGAAGCAGGGGATGGTAAACTATAACTCATAGGCCAAATGAGGCCCATCACCCAGTTTTATATCATCTCTTACCTAAAAATGGCCTTCATAACACTTCTACAGGTTTGAAAAACAATCAAAAGAAAAATATTTTGTGATATAAGAACATTATATAAAGTTCAAATTTTAGCAGCCATAAATATAGTCTCATAGGAACACAGACACAATCACTGCTGTGCATACTGTGTTTGGTTGCTTTCACACTAGTACAGCAGAACTGAGTCCTTGAAGCAGAGAATGTGTGTGGCGCTCTTATTCTTAGTGCTGTCTAGTGAACTATAATTCACAGCGATGCACTTAAAACACAATATAGCATTTTGAGTGCTGCACATATCACCCGTAACAAAACATTCATGTTTATTGCCATCACACCTATTATGTCAAAATAAGAAAAAAAAAAGAGAAGAGTAGGTTCCCAACGTCATGTTTTAGGGCAAAATGGAACATGCGTTATTTTGTCATTAGGAGGACAAGTGTTGTGTTTATTATGCAACGATACCATAGCTGTGCTAAAAGAATACAATATACATGGACATTACCAGACTAAGCCCTCATCACAATATTCCAACTCATAGGAAAGTAACAGAAAAAAATAGATCATTTTCATTTAAAACAATATCTCATCACAGAAAAATGTCTGCACAAACATAAAAATGAAAATGAAGCTGCAATCAAAGGAAGATTCTGAGTGATTAATTTGTTGTTCAAGCCTGGAAAGCCATTTACTGATATGAGTTAATTAAATTGTGCTTGATTCCAACAGCTGAGGAAATATGTACAAAGGCTGTTAGTCTTTCAGTGAGAACAGTTGATTACAGAGTTGAGGACTTTGGGAGCAACATCAGTAGTCAATTAAAAAACAAGGCAAATGATTTTGAGTTGTTTTCTTGCACTTTTGATGAGTTGACAGATGTTGCTGATACTCCTCAGTGGTTGGTTATTCAAGGCATCTAGGCTGAGTTTGAAGTGCCTGAAGAATTAGCTTCTATGAAAAGTCTGTTAGAGAGAAGTAGAGAAAACATTAATTTAATACAACCTGAAATGGAATCTGCTATGATGTGTTAACAACTGAGGGTGGTATAAAGATGTGTACAGCAGAATAAGGTTTAGTTGGACAAGTTTGCAAAGCTTATAAAAAAGGTAAGTTTTGTTCATCAGCAGCTATTTTGCAGAAAATAAGTGAATCTGTCATGTGGTACTGAAACAGTAGTGCCAACGGTGACCTTCATTTGCTCTCAAAGACTTAACGATCAGTAGTTTCTTGAGTTTTTGTCAGAAATACAAGCTGAATGTCTTGACTTGTCTAATCACAAAGCAGTTCAATGACTTACTTGTAGGAATGTTTCATTGTGGCTTTTTAAAGTTCTGATTTGAGACTGATTTTTTTCTGAATGAAAAGAAGAGTTCTCAATGGTTGCATTATTGATCATTAATGGCTTTGGAACAAGGTTACTTCAAATTTGATAATGTTTCTTAATGAAATCAACCTAAAATTATTAGTTAAAACAGTTCTTATATATGAAACTTAAATCGTGGTAAAGACATCTCAATAACAACAAATGTTTAGATCACAAGCAACATTGTACAAGTTATTTAATATACTTCACATGAAGTAAAAAGTTAAAAAAGCAAGATCTCCACTTCAACAGAAATTTGCCTAAGGTCTGTTTTCCAAGTTTTAACTACAGTATCAACGGAGTTTTTATGATTTCGGTGCAAGAACCAAGGAAATTTCCATATTTTAAAATCAATTTAACTATCTAGTTAAAGATCTTCCACCTAACTTTCAATTTGAATTTTATTAACCTGCAATGTAATGACAATGGCAAATATAATAAGAAGACTAATAGAATTCTATAATGTCTTCTAAGCAATTAATTTGTTCAATTAAAAGCATATGCTAATGAACAAAACAAAACTAAACTCTTAGATACAGGGAACAGATTAGAGGTTACCAGAGTGGGAAGTGTTTGGGGATACATGAAGTGGTTAAAGGAGGTCAACTGTATGGTGATGGGTGGAAACTAGACTTTTCCTGGTGATGATGGCAGAGAATATACAGGTATAGAATGCAATATGCATAGCAGAAACTTATATAATGTTATAAATTTATTTTAAAATGTTACATCATTTATTTTTAAAAATCATATGCTAATGGATTTATAACAGTATTTGGCAGTATCTATCTCTGTAAAAAGACATTTTCAAAGATAAAACACATAAAATCTCATTACAGATTAGCACCAGCAGATGAACATTTAGAATCAATTTTGAGGGCCTCTCCTGGTGGCCCAGTGGTTGAGCGCTGGGCTGTGAAACTGCCTGCAGCCTCTGCAGCACTGGTTTAATCCCCAGCTGCAGGCGAGGGTCCCACATGGCTCGCAGACCTCTCCTGCTGCCCACTGCTTCCCTCAGCAGTGTATTTCGTCAGTCTGCCTGTTCTGTTCCCTGCTCTGGCTCTGGTGAATTCTCTCACCGTCCTGCGCTTCTGACTGTACCCAGTGCTTGTATAAATAAATCTAAAAATAAATAAATAAATAAATAAATAGATAGATAGATAGATAGATAGATAGAAGATAGAATCAATTTGGCTAATAAGAAACACTGAATATTGAAGCCCAATTTAGCAAAACATTAATACCTCCCCCTTCATTCCAGTCTTCTTGTTAGTAGACTTGTAGTACCAAAAAAGTACATAATTATTATTACTATATTTTTAATTTCATCAATAAAAATTTTGTGGAAATTTGTTGTCTAACCTTTTACATCAATACCCACATATTTTCAGTTTTGCTGATTTTATTATGAAGCTTACAATATTTATTAACCTGTTCTTTAATTTTGCCAACCTCTACTATAGAGTTAGAAGTGAAAGGTAAGTTCTAGCCCTTCTAATAGCAGCATAGCTTGTGTTAAACTAGTCCTCCCACAGATAACACTTATAAAGTCCTGACAAAATATAAAAACCAACTATTTGAAGGCACTGGAGAGCATCTAAGAGTGGGCCTGCCCTGTAAGGGCTTAAAGCATTGACTAGATGACTTTCCCACTGAAGACACTCCCCAGTCTAGAGAACTACAATGCAAGCAGAAGGCCAGCCTAGTTGACTTGATATGTCAGCAGAGAGCAGAGCTACTAGAAGATCTGGAAATTGTAGATGTTATCCCAGAATTGAGGAAGTGACAGAAGGAACACCCAAATCTCCATATAAATACCACTCAAATTCAGATTTGCATTATAAGAAATGCCAAAGGGAGTTCTTTAAACTGGAGGAAAATGTTATCAGAAGGAAATTTGGACCTCAGAGAGGAATTAAGAGCACTAAAGTGTTAATTATGTGGGTGAATAAAAAGATTATTTTTCCTTCTCTTTAGGAGACATGATTATTTAAAGCAAAAATTATCATATCACTCTGTGGGAATTATAGGGAATATAGATTCAAAATAGTGCAAAGATTAGTGTAAAAAGTACTATATGATTTTATGGAGCTTTTATTTTATATGAAATAGTATTATATTAACTATAAGTAGATTTATACAGTAGGGATATACCTTGCAGTCCAACAATTAAACAAAAGCACAGATATCCCCAAGCCAATAGAAAAATAAAACTGAAGTAGCAAAAATGATTCCATTAACACAAAAGAGACAGAGCAGGGGAAACAGAAATAAATAACAGATGGGATAAGTAGAAAACAGCAAAATTTTAAACCTAAACTGAACCTTACCAATAATTACATTTTTGCTAATTGACTAAACAAACACTCTAATTAACAGGAAGTTATTTAAAGACTGTATTAAAAAGTAAGCTCTAACCATACACTATTTATAAAATATATTTTTTAAGCCTAAAATCACAGATAGCTTGAAAGTAAAAGTCTGCAAAAAGATATTCCATCAAATAACAAGCATATGAAAATTGGCATTGTTAATTTATTACCAAAGATTCTAAAACAAGGGCTAACACTAGAAATTAGGAAGGACTTTTCAAATGAAAAAAAGGTCAATTGATTAGGAAGACCATAAACATGCATCACTGAATAACAATGGTAGTTCAAGAGTTTATCACCAACCTCTCAGCAATTGACAGAACAATAAACAGAATGTTAATAAGGTTATGGAAATCCTTAACAGCACTATTAACTACCTTTACCTAATTGATATATATATATATACCACTACCTCTAACAACTACAGAATACATATTTCTTTCATGTCTACATGGAGCATGCACCAAAATAGGTCATGTGCTGAGCCATAGAAATAAGCTCAGTTAATTTCAAACTTTTTTTGATCACTAAAAAATGTTTTAATTAAAAGTCAATAATGATTAGAAATCAAAGAGAGCCCCAAATATGTGAAAATTAAACAGCATACTTCTAAATTTGTCCTGGCTCAAAAAAAAAAAAAACCAAAATCATAACGAATATTAAAAACTATTCTGATCTCCTGACTCTCTAGGTGCTGCTCGTGTGCTCCTTGGGGTGCTAAAATGGCACCTCTTTTGTGAAAAGGCAGAAGGAAACGCTGGTGCTCACCATGGTGGACCAATAGCACAAGGAAGAGTTAAGACTGGGAACGACGATTATATCAATTTGAAGGTGATGGGTCAGGAGGGTTCTGTGTTGCAGTTTAAGATTAAGAGGCACACACCACTTAGTAAATGAATGGAAAGCCAGTTGTAAAGACAGGGTTTGTCAGTGATGCAGATCAGATTCCAGTTTGACTGGCAGCCAATCAATGAAACCCACACGCCTGCACAGTTGGAGATGGAAGAGGAAGATACAATTGATATGTCCAGCAGCAGACAGGAGCTGTCTATTTAAGAAGGAACCTGCTACTTTACTCCAGAACTCAGGCCTTGTCAACCAAGAAGACATTCTCAATTGGAAAATTGCAGTTGGGTTCCACCACATCCTGACTACTACAGTATAGTTTTCTTTATTTTCTCATTTCCCCTTCTCCATTCCTTTCCTTTATTTTCTTATTGGTTACTTCACTTCCTTTATTTTTTTCCCACCACCATCCCTTATGCCCTTTTAACCCTTTTTCTCTTGCCCTTTGCCTCAGCCTCAGAAACCTCAGTTCTGTTATCAATGTCAACTAGTTTATAATTACTTTGGTTTGTCAGTTATTCTGTTTTGTATCATTATATCAGTTATATATGTGAGTAATGTGTCTTTATTCATCTAATTTACTTTACTTTGAATAATCCCCTTGAGTTCCTTTCATTTTGCTGTAAACGGTAATATTTCACCTTTTCTGACAGCTAAATAGTTTTCCACTATGTGTATATGTTTCTTCTTCCTTATCTAATCAGTGGGCACTTAAGTTGTTTTCAAATCCCAGCTATTGTAAATAATACTGTAGCAAATATTGTGGGGCATATAATTTTTCAAGTGGATGATTCTGTGTTCTTCGAATAGATAATCCAAAAGTGGATCACATGGTATTTCCATTTTTAGATTTTTAAGACAAGCCTAGAGCACTTTCCAAAATGACTACATCAATTTACATTCCCACCAACAATGTATTTAGAGTTCCCTTTTCTCCACACCCACTCCAGAACTTGTTGGGAGTCTTTTTGATGTATGCTGTTCTCTCAGGTGTAAGATGATATCTCATTGTGATTTCTGACTTGCATTTCTCTTATTAAAAATGATGATGAGCATTTTTTTTCATATATCTTTTGTATAATCTCTTGGGAAGTTGTCTATTCAGACTGCTGCTCAGTTTTCAATTGGTTGAAAATGTAAATCCTCCCCAAACTGATCTATAGAATTTATACAATCCTAGTCACAATCCCAACAGGCCTTATTGTAAAAGTGATAAATATGTTCAAAAGCTTAAGTAGAAATGCAAAAGATTTAAAATAGTCAAAATAATGGTGAAAATAGAGTGCGATGTTGAAAAGTTCACACAATTACATTCCAAGACTTAATATAAGGCTCCAGCAATCAAGACAGTGTGGTATTGGCATAGAAGGATGAACGGCAA